CAGCCCATCTGAATTTAGAGATCTCAAGAACAGATTTGATGAATTAGACACTAATGACTGAAAACCAGAAGAGTTTGGGATGACATCAAGAATATCATGCAGGAAGACAGCAAAAGATCATTAAGACAAGAAAGAAGGAAAATATCAAAATGGATGTTAGAAGAGACTCTGAAACTTGATCTCCAGTGTAGAGATGCTAAAGCAAATGGAAAAAATGAGGAGGTAAAAGACCTGAACAGAAAATTTCAAAGGGCAGCTCAAGGAGACAAAGTTAGGTATTATAAAGAAATGTGAAAAGACCTCGTGTTAGAAAACCAAAAGGAAGAACATGCTCAACGTTTCTCAAGCTGAATGAACTGAGGAAAAAATTCAAGCCCCAAGTTGCAACACTGAAGGATTCTATTGGCAAAATATTGAATATGCAGACAGCATCAAAAAAAAAAAAAAAAAAAAGATAGAAGGAATACACAGAGCCATTGTACCTAAGAGAAAGAGTCCATTTTTAACCATTTCAAGAGGTAGCATACGATCAACAGCCAATGACACTAATGGAAGAAATCCAAGTTGAACTGAAGGCATTCACAAAGAACAAGGCTCTGGGAATTGATAGAATACAAATTGAAACTTTTCAACAAACTGATGCAGCACTGGAGGCACTCACTCATCTATGTCAAGAATATTGGAAGAAAGCTACCTGGCCACTGTTTGGAAGAGATCCATATTTGTGCCCATTCCAAAGAAACACAACCCAATGGAATGCAGATATCATAAGACAATATCATTAGTATCACATGCAATTAAAATTTTGCTATAGACAATTCAAAAATGTCTGCAACAGTACATTGGCAGGGAATTGCCAAACATTCAAGCCGGATTCTGAAGAGGATGTGAAATGAGAGATATCATTGCTGATGTCAAATGGATTTTGACTGAGAGCAGAGAATACCAGAAAGATGTTTACATGTGCTTTATTGGCTATGCAAAGGCTTTCAATTGCATGAATCATGGCAAGCTATGGACAACATTACAGAGAATGAGTATTCCAGAACACTTAATTGTGCTCATAAAGAACCTGTACATAGACCAAGAGTCAGTTGTTCAAACAGAATGAACACTGAATGGTTTAAAATTAGGAAAGGTATGTGTTGTATTCTTTCACCATACTTATTCAATCTGTATGCTGAGCAAATAATCCAAGAAGCTGGATTATGTAAAGAAAAACGTGCCATCAGGATTGAAGGAAGACTCATAAACAACCTGTAATATACAGATGATACAACCTTGCTTGCTGAAAGCAAAGAGGACTTAAAATGCTTACTGACGAAGATTAAAGACCACAGCCTTTGATATGGGTTGCACCTCAATGTAAAGAAAACAAAAATCCTCGCCTCTAGAGCAATAAATAGTATCAAGATCGAGAAAAGATTTAAGTTGTGAAAGACTTCATTTTGCTTGCATCCACCAGCAACACTCAAGAAAGCAGCAATGAAGAAATCAAACAACATATTGCTTTAGGCCAATCTGCTGCACAAGACCTCCATCAAATGTTCAAGAGCAAAGATGTCAGTTTGAGTACAAAGGTGTATCTAACTCAAGCCATGGTATTTTCAGTAGCCTCATATGCATGTGGAAGTTGTATAGTGAATAAGGAAATTGTAAAAGAATTGATGCATTTCAGTTGTGTTGGAGGAGAGTATTAAAATCACCATGCCAAAAGAGCAAACAAACCTGTTTGAAGAAGTACAGCCAGAATGCTCCTGAGAAGCCAGCATAGCCAGACTCTGAGAAGCCAGCATAGCCAGACTTTGTCTATCATACTTCAGACGTACTATCAAGAGAGACCAGTGCCTAGAGAAGGATATCCTGCTTAGCAAAGTGGAAGGTCAGCAATGAAGAGGAAGACCCCAACAAGATGGACTGACACAGTGGCAGCAGCAATGGGCTCAAGCACAGCAACCATTGTGAGGTGGTGCAGGACCTGACAAATTTTGTTCTGTTGTGCATAAGGTCGCTATGAGTTGACACCTAACAATAACAGCAACAAATTTCTACTTTGTGATGGCTCGCCCCAAAGAATGCCTTCATTTATCTTCTCAGCATTCTTAGGCATTAGTCAGCATATATGGATGTTCCTTGAGTATGGAAATAGGTTTCTTTTGAAAGGCAATATTAATAAGACTAAACAGGTAGTACACTACATCAATAATGTCTACTATTTACTGGGAGTCCTGGTGTGGCGGTACAGGATAAGCTGCAGACTGCTAACCACAAGGTCAGTGGTTCAAACCCAGAAGCTGCTCCTTGGAATCCCTATATAGGGTCTCTGTGAGTCAGAACCAACTCGACAGCACTTAAAAGTAACACCCATTTATTGAGTGTTTAATGTGTGCCAGGCATTGTGCTAAGTAATAAATGATTTCATTTAATCTTCATGGCCTTTTGAGTTAGATACCATTATCATTTTGTGCAAATGGGAACCCAAAGATAATTTGTGTGACCTCACCAGTTAGTAAATGGTAGATAAAACTCTAGATCTATTTCAAAACCCAAGAGTTAAATTTTTGCTAAAGTGGTTGGCACTACCGATGAGAATCTGCAAATAAGATTTGGAGACACGCAAATCCAAATGACATCATTTTTTTTTTCTCCAAGTTTTAATAGCTTTTTTTTTTTTTTTGAGGGTGTAATTTATATATATAATTTTTTTTCCTTAAATGTCTTATTGTGAATTATGTGATAGTTTACATGGGAGAACATTAGTTTTACATTCATTCTATCATATATCATCTCATTGCCATGGTTACAATCCCCTCCATGCAATCCTTCCCC